TGACACAGCCGCTGGTCTGCAAACCACATTTTGTCAAGAAAAAACTTGTGAAACGGGAAATGACACGATCCTACACACAAAACAGCTGTTGTTTGTTATTATAAAGCTAGCAATTATAAAGGGGGGAAAAAATAGCAGCAGGGATTGTCTGAGCTACTGAGGGAGCTGGAGGGAGTAAAAAGTGTTTTGCGGCGAGAAGTAGCTGGCTCTTCCGCCAGCTGCCTGCTCTCATTGGCTGGATGTGGAAATCAAGTTGGCCGACACTTATATTTGATATTTGGCATGCTAGATATCTGGCAGACGTCGACAATGTGCTGGGGAGCTGTTTTGACGCGTCATTGAGTAGTTCACACATAACCGATCGACCGCTGATTTACCCCTGATCACAGCCTGAGGTCGCCGAGCTCGCCGAGTGGCAAATTGGGCTAAAAATTGTTTAGTGTGAACTAGGCTTAAGGTGTGTAGGCTTATTCCTGAAAGCTTACTGTAAAAACTCTGAGTTTGTTAACCCTGAGATGAGGAAAACTCTTTTCCTTTCCAGAAAGAGAGGTGCCTTTCTCATTGATTCAGTTCCTTTCAAAGTGCGTATTGAAGTCCTTTAATTAGGTTAAGTTTACTGTAGGGCTATGTAAAAATCAAAATACTGTTTGGATATCAGTTTGTTTCTCAGAACTATCTAAAGTTACCGCTTTTATGTGCTGTCAGTCATTTCTTTGAACAGCAGTTTGTCATCTGCTTCTGATAAACGCCTCTGAATGCGGTCGTCGTTAATGCCACACACCAGCCTATCTCTTATCATGTCATCCAAAGTTGTCCCGAAGTCACAGTGTTCAGTCAGCCTCCGAAGGTCAGCTACAAAAGATGTAACTGACTGTCCCTGCTGCCGTACTTTTGAATGAAACTTAAAACGTTCCACGATGACACTGGGCTTGGGCATGAAGTGATCATTCAGTTTTCAGCAACTCAGTCAAGGAAAAATCCACCGGCTTACCAGGTTGACACAAATTACGTAGTACAGCATACTTTCCCACCACATGCACTTAAGAAGATGGCCCGCTTCTGTCCTGCCTCCATGATTTTATTAGCCACAAAGTAGAAATCCAGGCGTTCCTCATACTGTTGACAGTCATCTGAGTTCCAGGTCAAACTCTTCGATTTCCCCATAAGTCGCCATCGTTCGCCAAACTGTGGGGCAATCTTCACTCGGTTACGGTAGCTGCAGGCTTCCAAAATCAATTGCACGTTGATTTATTCTAGTCGCCAATGTAATAAATTTTCAAGCTCACAAAAAAAAACTGATGAAGTCATAACGGTTCACTGGTGATTTATCGGGTGATACATCTCTGCTACCAGCCTAACTTAACACACCAGAAAGCCCCCACCTAGGTCGCCCCTTAGTGGTCCTTTAACTACCTGACTACAAATAACACATAACATTCATGTTACAACAAGTTTAACATCCACCTATCCCAATATAGACATTCCTTAAAGACAATGGGTGTCTGTTTGCCTGCCTTCTGTATAGCTGAGGGCAGGCGAGCATCAGATAATGAATGACATAAATACCAAGCTTTTCAAAATTTGGTTCAACTCTGCCCATGGTAACATTACTGTTGGAAAGTCAGCTGCCTGTGAGGAAACTATCGGCAGAGATTGCTATGGCAGTACTGTACTCCGCTTGGTGCACCTGCCCTGGGGATGGCTGTAGTAGAGAACACAGCAGTAAGAAACGCAGCACATAGGCTTGGACAGTCATACAGTACAGCCTCTATGGTTTGAAATATTCAAGCCAGCGCTCTTGCCTGTCTATTAATATTTACTTCAACAAGCGCTACACACAGTCTGCTCATGGTGCTCTGGGGATGCATGTGACTTACTGTTGTTGGCACATTTATATTCAAGCCGAAACAAAAGGTAGAGTATGTGAATAATGAGGAGTAGAAGAGAGTCAGAACTTAAAAGATTAAAGGGACATTACACCACTTTATGTGTATTTGAAGAACAGCATGTTACTGCATTCAGCAAAGGCATTTTGTAGGACAGAGACAGAATGGATTAAAAAATTCTTTGAATTCTGACTTTGGTAGAGAATTCAGTTTTGAGCTGTACTCAACCATTGTGAAAAATGGAGGCCATGGGTTACCTGGCAGCATTCTTAGACTGCCTTTCTCACTCCCATTATGCTGACACGGGTGACAGATGCCAGCTCTCCTGCCAAAGGCCGCATCAGTCCTTGCTCCATGCATCCGCCCCAACCACCCCTCCCCCCCCACCTGCCAACCACCCATTACTGCTGCTGAAAATGCAGCATACATGAATCACGCTGCAGCTGTCACAACTCCCTAGCCCCAACCTAATTAAACAATTAGGGCATTTGGTTAACAGTGAATCATCTTCGAAGCACAAATGTGGGCTACAAGGAGTCAGTCATATGGCAGTGCAGAAAGTGAAAGGAAATGGGTTCAGATAATGAGTCTGGGTTGGGGGGAAAGAGGTCAAACAAAAAGTCTGATAATGTGACACTGATGTGTCTGCAGACAACAAACCTAATGACTAAGACATCAAATACAATTTAATCATTGTCACATCTGAAGTAAATCTTGAACTATTTGCATAACATTCCAACCACTGACACATTGTCAAAAATGACTTATGCAATGAGGGACAGCAGATTTCTGCTCAGATTTAGTAGGGCGGCTAGATTTCCATTTCCATGTTTTTAAGTTGTTTGTAATAAACACTTTATAACAAGAAAACACTCGTTAACCACTACAGGTGCTAGTCATAATTATATCATCAAAAAGTTGATTTATTTCAGTGATTCCACTCAAAAAGTGAAACTTGTATATTATATTCATTCATTACAAACAGACTGATATATTTCAAATGTTTATTTCATTCAATTGTGATGATTAAAACTGACAACTAATGAAAATCCCAAATTCAGTATCTCCGAAAATTAGAATACAATACAAAAAAAGGATTTTTAGAAATGTTGGCCAACTGAAAAGTATGAACATGAAAAGTATGAGCATGTACAGCACTCAATACTTAGTTGGGGCTCCTTTTTCCCTGAATTACTGCAGCAATGTGGCGTGGCATGGAGTCGATCAGTCTGTGGCACTGCTCAGGTGTTATGAGAGCCCAGGTTGCTCTGATAGTGGCCTTCAGCTCTTCTGTATTGTTGGGTCTGGCGTATTGCGTCTTCCTCTTCACAATACCCCATAGATTTTCTATAGGGTTAAGGTCAGGCGAGTTTGCTGGCCAATTAAGAACAGGGATACCATGGTCCTTAAACCAGGTACTGGTAGCTTTGGCACTGTGTGCAGGTGCCAAGTCCTGTTGGAAAATGAAATCTGCATCTCCATAAAGTTGGTCAGCAGCAGGAAGCATGAAGTGCTCTAAAACTTCCTGGTAGACGGCTGCGTTGACCTTGAACCTCAGAAAACACAGTGGACCAACACCAGCAGATGACATGGCACCCCAAACCATCACTGACTGTGGAAACTTTACACTGGACTTCAAGCAACGTGGATTCTGTGCCTCTCCTCTCTTCCTCCAGACTCTGGGACCTTGATTTCCAAAGGAAATGCAAAATTTACTTTCATCAGAGAACATAACTTTGGACCACTCAGCAGCAATCCAGTCCTTTTTGTCTTTAGTCCAGGCGAGACACTTCTGACGCTGTGTCTTGTTCAAGAGTGGCTTGACACAAGGAATGCGACAGCTGAAACCCATGTTTTGCAGACGTCTGTGTGTGGTGGTTCTTGAAGCACTGACTCCAGCTGCAGTCCACTCTTTGTGAATCTCCCCCACATTTTTGAATGGGTTTTGTTTCACAATCCTCTCCGGGGTGCGGTTATCCCTGTTGCTTGTACACTTTTTTTCTACCACATCTTTTCCTTCCCTTCGCCTCTCTATTAATGTGCTTGGACACAGAGCTCTGTGAACAGCCAGCCTCTTTAGCAATGACCTTTTGTGTCTTGCCCTCCTTGTGCAAGTTGTCAATGGACAGCTGTCAAGTCAGCAGTCTTCCCCATGATTGTGTAGCCTACAGAACTAGACTGAGAGACCATTTAAAGGCCTTTGCAGGTGTTTTGAGTTAAATAGCTGATTAGCGTGTGGCACCAGGTGTCTTCAATATTGAACCTTTTCACAATATTCTGATTTTCTGAGATACTGATTTTGGGGTTTTCATTAGTTGTCAGTTATAATCATCAAAATTAAAAGGAATGAACACTTGAAATATATCAGTCTTTGTGGAATCAATGTATACATTATACAAGTTTCACTTTCTGAATGGAATTACTGAAATAAATACTATACTAAATAAATGAGAGAGCTATACCAAAGTAGCCAAATTGTGGCCTGGTGATATCAGAGGAAAGGTCATGAGGTCAACAAAATCATAAAGTTTCTTCGTGGGAACTCAAAGGTAAACAGCAGAACTTGTGTGTTTATAACTGAGGGGTCAGGACATATATTTATTTGAAAATTGAATGTATGGCCTGGCGGTAAGGTTGCCAAAATCAATGTTTCTTTTGTTGGGAGATTGAATGTAAATGGCAAATTTTGGACCAATGAAGTTGGAAGTTGTAGAAACATCTTTGTCACAGACAAACCACGTATGGACGGAGGTGATCTCATAGCCTCTGCTCCCTGTCAGAAGTGATGAATAAATCCAATAATGCAGACGTGCCATTTGACATAGAAAAACTGTATACAATTATTTGGTTTGACGTAAGTTCAAGACAGTTACAAGGGTTTTAACCAGACTGTTGTACTGACTACACGGACTCGAACTCAGTGACCCATGTTTCCCTGTGTGTAGGTCACTAGAGGTAGAGAGTGGGAGAGAATGAGAATGACGATGGAGGCAGAGCGGCAAACAGTGATGGTGTGGGAGGGGGAAAGACAGAGAAAGACACTCAGAGACAGAGAGAGATTTTTACTGCAAACAGGCCTGGGGGATTTAATCACAGTAAAACACTGAACTCTTATTGGGGGTATCAAAACATTTTATGAGAGCAGCTGTGCCAAACTGTAGCACCACAACAGTGTCCCAGTCCAAGATAAATCAGCAGTAGTCCTCCAGATCACCTTATGTGCCTCATTTAAACCCCGACTACTGTGCAACTGGCAAGAAATATTTATTAGACATCACATGTAAAGAATAATTTACAGTTTAGGGCCTCATGGGTAAATACTTAAAGGGTCACTTCTCCCAAATTACAAAGTAATATATTTCCTCGCTTTACTCAACTCAATTTCATTCATCAACCCCAAATATGTTTCAAAGGTGTTAACAATCTAAATAGCATATAACACCCTCTGTCCGTATACCCTCTAATGTGGTAAAGAAAAAATCCCTTTAATTGGGAAAATAAAGAGGCATACAGAAACATAAGCTGCTCATATAGAATAGACTGAAATTACATTAATAGTGAAATTAAAATATGAAAAAAATCAGGATGACAAATGTATCTGAAGAAAATGGATCCAGGACGATGTCGAGGAATTTCCAGGTGATGCCAAACATGGCTTCACTACAGAGACCTGGAACAAGTACAGACAAACACACAAGAGGTAAAACTCCACACAATATTCACACAGACAAGAGAAGAGACAAGAAAATCACAGATGCAAAGTGAGAGAGAAACAAGGGTTGAGGGTAAATTTCCTGGCGGACCAAGAACGAAGACTCCAAATGTCTGGAATGAGGCACTGACAGCCACGAGAGAGAGAGAGAGAAGTCCGAGAAGCATCTTGCTTTGAAAATTTTTAATTAAAACCTCCAACAGCAACATGTCTTTCCAGAAACAATGTTATTACTGATCATCCACGGAGCTCACTGTGAACAATTTTCATTGGACTTTCTACCAAAGAAATAGGCCCTGTGAAAACTATTCACGATGTCTTCTGGAGATTATCTTTTGTGACACTTTCTGGAAAGTGATGTTGCTGTTGAATTTATTGCTGCATGTCATTTTTTAATGCTGTGAGCACCACAAATGTAATTATATTCTCCTCCACGGTATAGTGGAGCTAAAACATGGGCTTGTAAAACCAACAATATCATGGCTAAATACCACTTGAGTAAAGTGAGAAAATATGTTGTTTGGGTGAACTGACCCTTTCAATTGTAGTGTTACAAATGCTTGTGCCATTTGTGCAATGTTAAATTGGGTGGCATTACTTTCTAAAACTGTGGCCTCCCTTTAAAATTCTGTGATCATGACAAAACACATTTGTAATGGATAAATTAATATTTCCAACACTAATCAGAAGCTTCCAAACATGCAAGGATCCAGGGCCAGACTCAGATGGATAGATATGAAATGAGCAACAGATGGCTAGAATTGATGAGGAGAGGAAAACGACACTATCGAGTAGAGCCGGAGAGGCCATCATAATAAACCATTCATTTCACTAGTCAGAGGAGAGCACTCCTCGAAAACAAGAGCCAATATTTGTTCACAGAGAGATTTATCACAGATTACATACTTTCACACACACATACTCGCATGTACACTGCACAGACATTTAGGACCTCTCTTGATTGCATTAGTTTTCTAAAAAGATAAAAGCAACTTGAACATTTGAGAGTTCTGGTTCATGGCTTTAAGTGCTCTTTATTTTGACTTTCATTTAAACTAAAATTTAAAGAGGCAGTGTCATCACCCTTCAAGCAGCAGGTTCAGGGTTCAAATCCCAGTCAGGACAAGCCTCCTGAAAGGGTCAAGCCTACCTCAAAAAAAAAAAAAAAAGTGTCAAAACATAACTGCATAATGTGAAAGGTGACGGACCAAAGAATTAACAGCCCATTCTGCAGTTTCTTTCAGTTTTATGAATTGCAGTACATTGTTTTGGTTTCACAGCCTGCAAATTTACTGTTCTGGTTCAGTCTCAGCGCTCTGAACAGCATCGCTTCCAGCCACAGTAGGCAGCTATTTCAGCAAAAAATCTCTGATAAACCAACTGCATGTTACTTGTCCACCACCAAACGGCTGACAGACCCAGTTAGCAACTAGCTGATAAACACAGTGGAGCATTTAGCAGCTAAAGGGCAACATATTTCTCTTGGTGGAGTTTGTGAAGATCAAAATGGAAACTAGAGGACATGGATTCTGGACTTAAATTTGCCAGGTCACAAGAAATAGGACTTAAACTAAACTTACTCCATGCCTGCTGGATGTAGAAATAGCCAACGGTTTGCTAACGTAGTTCTTATATTAAGGTGATATGAGTAGCCTATTATAGAGGTAAGATTTCGCCAAATGTCCTCACATTGGCAGATTTCCTGCAGTAGGTCTTTTTCACAGCAGATAATTTGACTTATCAAAGCAGGGGAAAAAACAGGTGTTAACAGTTGCATTAACGATGACTGCTCAATTCAAGGGTGCCAGTGAGCCATCATGCACAATACCAGAATTTAGCCATTTCTTTTATTACATAAACTTCTTCTGAAAAAAGGGACTACATCCTTTGATTATTGAAATGTAACTTTAAAGGCCCAAGAACACACATACCGGATTTCTACTGTATATGGTCCACTCATCGTCATACTCACTCATGTTTCAAGTGTAGCGAGTGATTCACTGAGCAAAGCTTGGTTCTCTGGAAGCTCACAGCTGAGACCATGAGGAGATCCGTTACCTAGCAACCACTGTGATTGTCTCATGCTCCAGGTGTAACTTCCATGAAGAAGATAGCCCCATGTGAACCAAGTGGGTGCTACGCTATTTGAAACCCTGTTATTCTTGTATTTCAAGAAAACAGTGAGGTACAAAAGGACGCTGAACACACATTGTGTTTGTGTACTTAAGGCACAAAAGAAAAAAGCAGCTGGTGAGCTTCAGACTTTAAGAGAGAATATCTTGAGCTGGTATCACATTGACTCATCAATCAAGCTTCACTCTGTCTCTCCCTCCACATGTTCTGTGATCAATGTTACAATTAATCAAACACCACCACACAGCACTCTAATTAATCTTATTTCTTACTGTAAGTTTCAAGCCAGACATCTGGCAAAGCAACAGTCAATCATCTGCAGGTAGATTGACTTTGTAGAAAAACGGGGGCAACAATTCTACCAGCGTGTAATGATCAATATTTTATCTCAAAACACAGCTTAAAGTTTTTGTTAAACATCAGTACAATTGTACACACGTCAAAACACAACCAACGTATAAAAAAGAAATCAAGAAAATGTAACTTGTTCATTTAAACAGGAAAACGGACCCCAAGGAATCAATTTAATAAGCTCTCCTTCTCTCCCTCTGTACTCGTGTTACATTCAAAAGTATAAAAAAAATAAAAAATTATAAATATATCTCTTAGTTTATGAATGGCCGGCCACTAAACCTGTTTGCTCGGGGGATCTGTAGTAAGTGCCACATTTTGCAAACGCGGCATCTAAAGTAGTTGAGGCCCCTGAAATTTTGGTATTTCTCTGTAACCTTAAATACCCATGACTAAATGTGCAACAATCAAAGTTAAAGTGTCAGCCCTGCTGGCTGAACGTAGGAGACAGAGGTTTTGGACCCAAATGTAGACAAAGAGGTGGTACTGGTGAGTATTGTGTTTATTGCTCAACAACAGTGAAACTTACAGTGCAGGTGAAAACAAAGTCAAAAAATCTAAACGAGAGAGTATTCCAGAAGAAATGGGGAGACATGAAACTAGACAAAACATACAAACAATGAACAGGCAACCACTCAAAGACAGACAACCACTTAAATACACAGATGGGGGAGAAACTAATTACACACAGGTGACACTACTCAGACAATCAGAAACAAACAAAGGAAGTAAAACATGACAAGTGACACTAGGGCAGACTAACTACAAAGTAAAACAGGAAGTAAAGGTAACTGAAACACACAAGGGACAATGTTACAAAATGAAACACAGACAATATAAGTGACTTGCTGACCAAACCTACAGAAGCAAAGAACACAGAGACCGTGAAACAAGACTTGAGACACTAATGAACTCATAACAGGGAAACCTTACGAATAAGTAACACATACACATACGACAGAGAAGAGCAAACACAAGGGCAGGGAATGAACACAGAATCAAATACAAAAGACACCCAAACAACCCAAACCCATGACATAAAGTTTGGAAAAGGCATCCATGGGCAATTTTTATTGGAGTTTAACAGTCAAAAACTCAGCTTGTCTGTTTAGGTTTGATTAGATTTGATTGACAGCAATATAGCTAACGGCCCCTCATTCAAATGCTGCAACACCTTTTTCCAGGTTTTCCAACCCACTTCAAACCAGTGAGAAGGGCACAGAAAAAACAAATACAGAGATCTCTTGTGTGAAATAACCAAAACTGTAGAAAATTGTGTATCCATGTAGGACCCCATTACCCATAGTGAGAAGCTGATGAAGAAATCAGGGCCTTTAATATTGTTTCATCCCATGCCCTAGTTCTTTTTTGTTGTTGTTGTTTTTTATGTAAATGCTCTGTAATTGTAAAGCGCCTTTCTAGTCTTTTTGACCACTCAAGCTTTTACACTACATCTGCATTCACCATTTACACACATTCATACATTGGCGGAATAGCCACCAGAGGCAATTCGGGGTTCAGTATCTTGCCCAAGGATACTTTGACGTGCAGCCTGGAGGAGCCAGGGATTGAACCGCCGACCTTCCGATTAACGGGCAACCTCCTGAGCCACAGCCTCCTGAGCCACAGCCGCCCAAAGCATGCTTTGAATGTAATTACAAGAAAGAAAATCTATATAATACTGCCAGTGACAGCAGACCTGATTGTGGCTGACTGCCTTGCATGCAGTGGTGTGACTACTCAAAGTGACAGTTCTATTCACTATTCACATCAGGATTGTTGTGATATATACTGGCTATACATGATGTGTTGAAATTGCTGCAGATAACAGACTATATATAAACTATGTATAAGTATATTTAGACTCTGCAGAACATAGAATACTCATGTTTAGTAACCTGTCTCCCTATGACATCTAGCATTTTATTATCCCCATAATTATCCCCATTGCATCTAAATCTCTCTAACATTGTATATGTTTCTTAAATTGTGACCACTGCCATCTGTCTCATCCCAACAACAGTTATCCCATCCTCAGTTATACTTTGATACAATAAGTACAATAGTGTTTGATTCCCTGGAGGATTCTGCTTGAAATGGTTCCAGGTATACTTTGGTCAAGAGTCTGTTCAACATTTCAGTGAATTTGGTTCTAGACAGAACAACTATAGGCTCCCAGGAGAGAAAGGAAAGGGAGAGAGAGAGAGAGAGAGAGAGAGAGAGAGAAATTTGAAGTGTTACTAACTGAGGTTGAGGGCCAAGACCTGAGAAACAGTGCCATCTATTGATTCTTTTTTGTGTCTGCTGTAATGCTGCAGCGATGTGCGCTTGTGGGGTTTAACAGAGGCATTTCTTTCCCCCATTATAAAATCCATTTTTTGTCAGGGTGAGTGTAGTGTGTATTATTTTAATGGAATTTTTTAGTATTATTCATAGTTTATTTTATATTATTATGTCTGTGTTTTACCATTTGTTCTGCTATGATGCATTGTAAACCACATACAACTTTCCAACCTGTTGGAAATTTAAGTTGCATTGTCTTTTATGCAGGTAATATGGGTCTACTCTATGTATTACATAATAGCATGTGAAATAATAAACTAAATATCAGTGGATCAGGGGGACAACTATATTATAGTGTCTAGTAAATCATTTATTTATATACTGCTTATAAATGCTAAATAGTGTTAAAGTGTTACATATTTTATTTGTTTATTTTTTATGTGCGTCTGTCACTATTTGTTCCTATGTAAATTACATGTTTTGTGTAAATTTTATGTCATAATGAGCTAAAGGCATTTCTACCCTGGTGGACAATAAAGAAGTAACCAAGTCTGCAACACACTTGGCTTTTTAAATGATTCCAGTAATCTGACTGACCACAGTTGACCCCAAATCAGATCTGGGTTTCTAAAATACTATTGGATTTTTTAAATTTATTCCATTTATTAAAGGATTATTTGAGATGGTCAGCTACTCACTTTAAAAACTGAGAGCCACAGAAAATGTGTCATCAAAACTCACTCGCATAAACAGTGACTGGACCTTGTAAATTGTCACTGTGACCATTCATTCATTCATTCATCAACAACTACTACTATCCACTGTATCCTAAGTTTTACAGGGAGCCTTTCAGTCCAACAGCTGTATGTTCATCATGCTCATATGGAAGCATGAACTTACAGACTGGCTCTGACATCACAGTGGTCTGTAGGAGTTTGTGACAAGATTAGATGAGAAAAGACTTATTCACCAGCACCGTGGTTGATATTCACAGTGAAAGACAACCGTCAATGCCCAACTGCTCACAATGCTAATTTCTGACACATCTCTGTGAATTTTATGCCAGATCTGTGGTGACATGCAGTGACCGGTGCAACCATGCATCATAGTTCACTTCGGGTAATTGTTGAATAGAAGGTGGTAATAGCACAGTTAATACTTGCAATAGAGTCATCAGCATGTAAAGACTCACTCCTATCCATACAGATAGTTAAATATACTGTTCATAGTTTATATTGCAGGTTTGTGAATCCTTTCTGTAACATATAGTCGCCATTGTATGAAAACCATGTGTCTTAATCTTAGCAATGAGACAACAATGTTTTTAGCTTTATCACGATGCATTTTTCACATAACCCAATGGGTTTTAAAAAGGTTGATTTAGCTTGAGAAGCAGGCAGATTTTGTCAACCCATTAAAGAACACGTAATTCTTTTATCTGGAAGAAAAACACAAATTACCAAATGGTTTTCACTGAACAGTGATGATATAAATCTTTGACACCACTTTCTAATAGGTTCTTATCTTAATTGAGGGCTTATTCATTTTAACAAATGGCTTTATTGATGGTTAATAAAGCATTTACTACTGCTTCATAAATGAGTTATAAGATATATGCACATCACATTTGCTTTGTCTTCTTAGGTTTTTTATTTATCACTAAGGTGGATTGTAAAAACACTTTATTAATGACTTATTACCATTTATTACTGAAGTCTTAATGGGTTATTATAAAGTGATTAATGGATTACCAACATTTGGAACTGCATTATTACTACATAGAAAGGATACACCAAGGGAATGCCAAGCAAAGGGATTTTTCTCAACCTGGCAACTTTTATTAATGGCTTATAACTGAGAAGCATTAATAAATGATTTGTTGACCAATAATAATTATTAACTACTAATAAACTCTATATAAAGGGTGCCTCATCAGAAAGTGGTACCAACATTTCTTCTTTTCACCTCCATGTTTGGCATTAAAGGACAAAATATCATCAAATATTTTAACCCCCTATCACCACTGCCATCTCCACCATGACTGAGCGCTATCCAAAAGCATTATGTCTTTTTATGATAGCACCAGATCAGTGTCAATATGTACAGTACTTATGCCTTTGATGGGTTGGTACATGCAGCCACAGGGCCAGTGATTTCACTTAGGAGGAGCAGGATGTCTTGGATGAGATCAGGCCCAAGCAATGCCTCGCTCTGACATGTGTCACCCTCTATTAGTTTTGACTGTTCAATGCAATGACCTCTCCAGCTGTAATCTAGCAGTACCGGCTCTGACAGATTAACAGTGCTATTAATGTCTACATGTTGTTGGGGTTTTTTTACCTCTGCAGAGGAATCGCAGAGTATGTTATTGATCAGAGATGTGTCATTCTGCCACTGAAACCACTCTTATGAGGGAGGTGTGTTTCTTGTCAGGTCAAGGCCAAAAGGTGTAGATCTAGTGACACGTTAGAGCAATGTGGTGGTTTGAAGGTGTGGTATGATAGAATTTTGTGTGGGGAAAATTGACAGAAACATGTGCAATACATGCCTTGATGTTATATTGCAGTTATTGCAAACTCACTGACTCAAATAAATTAATCTTTTTAAAATTCTTCTACTTTTTTGACCAGTTATTCAGCTCTCTCTTCTCTGGAGTCTGCTCATCGCTCCATGCAGACTCGACTCTTCTCCATCCTGGTCTTTTCCCTGATGGTAGAGAGATTTTTTTCCTCTCCAGTTATTCACCACTTTCTTTTGGAGTCTGAAAACTCATCTCTTCAAGAAATACCTCATGTCATCCTCGCCTCACTGAATCATATCCCCTTTCTCCACACTCTACCATCATCCTCCTGTACACTCTAATTTGTTCTTCAAAAAAAATCCCTTCCCTTTTCTCCTCTGCTGTTATTTTTATTTGTATTCCCATTGCATCAGTCCCCTATGTATAGTATTGTGAGGTCGCCATAAGGGAAGTATGGCTCTGAATAATGATGGTAATGAAGGTGATATAGGATTTGGTGCTCATTATACTGATGCATCCCTTTAAAGTCTATTTTAACAAGTCAGCTAAAGAACCACAAGATAGTGTACATGTTTGTTGAAATAAAAACAAAATATTTCAATGGTATTAATATATAAGCTGAAAAATATGTCACCCAATTTGAAGTGAGCAATGCAGCTGCAGTGAAAAGTAGGTGTAAGACCCCCATCTAGTGGTCAGGCATGAAAAGTGGTGATTAAGAGTACCACTACAATGTTACAATACTGAAATATCATACTAATTGTCTTTTTTACATTTTTTACATTTGTCTCAAAATATTTGGTTATGTGTTTTGAAATCACGT